GAACATCCCTTGGCAAAATGCAACCCAGACTTTTCTTGAGAGAATTCCGAGCCCTGCAAAAGTGGAACTTTTTGACATGAACGAAAGCCACGAAGGCAAACAGAAATGAACTCAGGCCCAAACATTTCACCAATTGCGACCGGAGAGCCCCGGCATCTGCAGCAGCTCCTCCACTTCCGAGCGCGCAGAGGAGACAGCCGTGTCAACGTGCGCTCCCAGGCTCTGAGGGAACCTGGCCGAATATGACCCCGCGAGCCACGGGGGGTGCCGTTTTGGTAAGGCAAATGTGCAGGGCAGGGCGGTGGGAAATGGAATCCACGAATCCGTGATACAGCAAAAAAGAGCCCCCCAAAGACTAACCCACAGAACTGGGGATAAACCCCGAGTGATCCCACAACTCTGATGCAGGGTGTTCCTCTGACTAGGGTCTCCAGATTCCGAGATTATTCAAGTTCCAACTCTTGGGCCTCAGTGGATGCGTCGCTCGCTCCGGAGGCCGCATTCTGGGAACCCCCACCAATCCCTGAGCGTCAGGCAAACCCAGAAACCCAGCAGCCACTAAAATCATGAACTGACTAAGACGATGAAGACACCTGTGAAAGCCTTGGAACTTTGCCCTCTCAGTTTCTGCTGCAACCTGCAACTTCAACCACACAGAAACGGTTCAATAGAACACACAGGATCAACCACACCAGCTACCGCGTCAGGTTGTGGCTTTGCTCAGGCTGCCATAATGAGAAGTTCGCGGGGCGGCATGTGTTGCTTGCTCAATGCTCCAGAACGGCGCGCCTGCACATCATCTTCAATTGTCTATTCAGGGGCCCCATGCAAGTAAGTGGCGGGTTTCACGATGGCTCCCCTCTGAATCTATCTACAGAAGGGCTGTCCTCTCTCAATTTTGGAAGTCGATCAACCCAACAGTGGGAGGCTCCTGCGTCCCATGCTTGACGAAACGTCAATACCTTGACCCCAATCTCGAGTGAGATGAGGTGGAAGAAACTGTGAGCATGGCACACTCCAGTCAAATTACAATTGACGGGAAGCACAGGACACCCAGCAAAGAATCAGGACACGTGCGGGCACAAAAGCCGGGCCTTTGGTGTCACGGACCAAGTGGTATTGGAAGACATTCAGAGGATGTAAACTTGACGTCTCCCCCCCAGTTCGGGCAGCTGATTGGGAAGAAGCCAACAGCTGCTGTCATGCTCTTCGGTAGAGACCTGTTTTGTTCATTCATATAGGAAACACATGGACAAATTCACGCAATATGATGAAGAATTCTTTATTGCATACCATTTCATAGGACGTTGCCCGTTGCGAAACAATCATGAAGGTGCCTCGTATTCAGTGATGGGTCTACGCAAAAAAGAAAACAGCTCTAGCCCGTAGCCCGTCGACATGTTTGGAGTGAGCACAAGCAAAAAACATCATTAAATTTAGTTCACCACCTACTCTGTGAAGAACTCCACAACTTTTCACAGCTGCACATATTTTCCTCTGTTTACAGGTGCTTGTTTGTCCTGGAAAGAAGCAACCAGCATGAAGCAAGATTTTGACGAAGCCCTGGCGAGCCAGGAACTCACTCCAATCTTGCATACCAAAGCAGTCATCTGAAAACCAGGCGTTCACTGCTGTAGGAGGCTTCCCAGGCAAGTCTGATGCTTTTCCGCCAACAAACTATCCTTCATGCCCCCAACAAGTTCGAACCAGTTCGAGTCCCCTCCCAGCTCCCACCTGGAAGACAAGAGCGCGCGGCTCAGGGCCAGGAGGCTCGCGGTGGGCGGGGGACGGCGGTTTTTGTTGAGCGCCGTGCCCCCAGAGGCCGAGGAGGGCAAGTAGATGTACAAGAAGGGCTCCTCAGGTTTGCGCTGTGTGGCGCAATGGCAGCGTACCTTCCCAAGTCCAAGTCACCTTCGAACGAATTTTGTCTTCCTCCTGCTTTCCCTTTTTTTACCTCAAAACCCAACAGAAACGGGGCACCAACTCCCCAAAAGACCAGCCGCCCCACTCCATCCGCGCCAATCCCCCTGCCCACCCGGCACCGCCTCGCCTCGGCGGCGCGAAGAGGATCCACCTGCGGCCCCCACCCGGCACCGCCTCGCCTCGGCGGCGCGAAGAGGATCCACCTGCGGCCACCACTCCTGCAGCGTGCCCTCGCCCTGCCCGGAGACCTGGCCGAAGCTCCGAGCAAGTCTGCTAACCACAGACCTGTGCCAATCGATTGCCTGTCACAGATGTCCAGGTCTCGAGGAAAAAAAACACCAAGGAGAAAAAAAAACACCTGGAACTGTTTGGCGAAACAACACTCAGGATCATCACAGGTGTGGTTGAAAAGTCGAGAGGCCGAAATGGGGTCAAAGAGACTTTGGGGCCCCTGGCGGTGGACCCTTTGGTGGACATATAGTTTGCGAATTATGTGCAACCATTTGGGAGGGTATTCAACCATGAACAAAGTCATATGGCTCACATGTCCCACTGGAGACCCCCCCATGGTTTTTAGGGGACCCTACAGGAAACGGAGTCTTGGTTTTGGGGTGTCTGGGGGGAACCCAAAGACAACTGACAAGTACGTCTGGCGTCTGACCGAAGAGACTGGGAGACACAGGGAGACAACAGGGACACACAACCCCGGAGCCGGTCGCCGCAAATAAAGGAGAAAACAAACTCTGCTCAAACTGCTGCCTGTTGGACCAGGCGGAGGTTTCAGCTGGCAAGTAAGCGGTAGATCAGCTCGAGTCCGTCAATGGGTTCGACCAGATTGGCAGGAAAACAGGGGTTGGCATATTCAGGCTTCAACGAAGCAGTAGAACCTCCTGCTTAAATGTTCTTGAGGCGTTCAGTGTGGAGTTTGCTCACGGAGCAAAGACTGGAGAGTTTTCGCACCACATCCTGCCTTGATTCAGGGCTCCCTATATTTCCCCTTAAAGGATCACCCCCACCAAGGGACACTCACCTTTCATGGTTCAACAAGGTGCCGTTTAAATTAAACCACAAAAAAGGGAAATATAGGGACCCCGTCACTAGAAGATACAAACTATCAGCATAAGTGCCTCAGCCCTGGGCACTCAATTCATCCCCCACCGTTCAGTGGCCAACTGGGTCCATGAAAGTGAAATCCTCAAAATCACGCTCTCAGTGGTGACTGGGGCACCCGTTTGAGAAGTTGACTGGCTCATCCAAAAGTTCACCTCGAATCCAGTCACATGCTGAAAATCTACATTTGGGGTCCATGTCTTGGCTAACAAACTCCTTCTTGCTCAGAGGCACAGCTGGTACCTTTGTAACAGGTTCACTGCTCTGAGCCAAGGCAAGCCGAGGAGTCCTTTTGGGCATCTCCCGTTTTGGCCCTATTGAAGTGATATTTGAATCCTTTCTAGCAGCATAAAGTCTCAATCTGCCCGAACCAGCCGGCTCAAGATCTCCTTGATCTCAGGGAACAGCTAAAGACTCCGCATGTACGTACCCCTTGGGCCGATACAATCAGCCCAAGAGTGGGCCTTTCAGAAATTGAGTTGGGTAGGTCAGGCTTGCTCCAAAGATTAGAACATCGGTCCTTGATTGAAGGAAACCAAAGCAAACCAAAGGATACAATTGGAAACCAAAGGAAACTAAAGATACAGTTGGACACCAAAAGACACCATTGGAAACCAAAGGAAACCAAAGGAAGCAATTGGACACCATTGGAAACCATTGGAAACCAAAGGAGACATTTGAAAAGCAAAAAACAAAACAGGGAAACGACAAAGGACACCATTGGAAACCAAAGGAAACCATTGGATACATTTGTACACCAAAGGAAACCAAAAGATACAATTGGACACCAAGAAACACCAAAGGACGCAATTCACATGAAACCAAAGGAAACCAAAGCACACGATTCACATGAAACCAAAGGACACCAAATCCTCGGGGTGTCCTTTTAGGCACAGCTTGGAGCAAGGCGATAGAAACTTCTAAACCTCAGGCCACGCCTCCCAGGCTTCGCCAAAGCTGTAGCCCTCGCCTGCGCAACATGGGCCCGTGGAAGTCAGTAAGAAGATGCGATTCCGAGTTGTGGTGAAACTGGGGGTGGTGAGTTGGCGAATGGGTGGGGTTTGGGTTGGGGTGTGGGTGGGGTTGAGGGGGATTGTGATGGGATGCTGGTGCTACAAAGTGTTGGAACATCAATTTGATGTACTGAAATGTGGCTAGGGGTTCTTTCCAGGGTGCAGAATGACAGAGAAATGCCATAATCAGCTTGTTTAGGAGCCATTGCAAAAAGAAGACTGTTCGATCACTCCCGGTTCAGATTCTGACAAAAAGCCATGTTAAGCGTGGCTGTGGCACACACAGCGCTTTTGTTTTGCACGTCCAGCGGGCCCCTTTAGTATCACGTGCCGTGCCTTTGAGTCCATCTGTTTCGGCTTCAGCTGTTGACCTTCCCTCGGGGTAACAAGCATAGGTTATACAACAACTAGGTCAACCAGGCCATCAATTTGCAACCAAAACAACCAAAAAGGACACCTACTGTGGATGTGGATGGACAAATTACTGTGAAACTATGGGAAACCACGTTCTTTTCATGTAGGGGAATCATCATTCCAGGGTTTCTTAGGTGGTGCAGAATTGCGTTCACCTACAGCATGGTAACAAGGCTTTCCTGCCAAAAAGCTTTGCGGCCAGAAGAGCAACCCGAAGTGGCTAATGGACCTAGACGCTTGACATGGGGAGAGAGGGTCAGTTGCCTGAGACCTGCCTACTTGGATGTTCGTATCTGGTCAGCCTCTCTGGGGGTTTTCACCCCCTCATAACAAGGCTAATCCCACTTCTAAGTGGGTTATAATCTAGGTTAACAACAACTTGATCACTTCGCAACGAACGCCCAAGTAGTTATCCTCTTGTAACACTAAACTTGCTTTGTCCTGCCACTTCAAAACCCTGGTTCATCTTTTGCAACAGGCACCGGCTGACACCGAGCTCTGCCGAAGCTGCGGCTTTGCTTCCCGACCAGCCGCCTTTTTGGGCGCACGCGGTGTCTGCGGTTTCGGCGGTCGGGGTTTCGATGATTTGCCTCTCTCAAGGCCCAGGTTATCCAAGTGATCCTGGGCCATAGGCACTGTGCATCGAACAAAATCGCCAGCCCTTCTTGACGCCTGGCCAATCGGTCGCCCACTTTGCATTTCGGGTGACAACGGAACCGGAAAGGATGCGTGAATTGGCACGGAAACAGGGGGATCATTTACCATCTCCCTACTCTGGCCATCCTTTCAGGGAAAAAGAGATCGAATTTCAGTTGCAACTTCGCCGACTTGGCTGGTGCGCTTCCAAATGCAGCCCCGAGAGGCATGGAGGCAGCCTCGTGGCCAATTGTTGGCCACCTGTACTCCTCCTGTACAGGATCGGTATTAGGGGCCAATACGTTGAGAGGACCAAGTGCGCACAGCTGCAGCGGAAAAAAAATAACCCTTGAAGTGCCCTAGCCTTCCGTTGCGGCCAATTATCCAGAAAGTGTCTGCAAATCGATTCAGAAAGAAGACATAGGTGCCTTGACCTTCTTGGTTGGCCGGGGGAAAGGTTTGCGGACCTCGGCTGCTCTTAGATCCCCAGCTTCAAGTAATAGTTGTTTGGGTTAAATACGGAAACTACCACCTTTCGCCAACTAAAAACAACTACAAACCATACCCGTTTTTGAGAACACCCCCTGATTCTTCTTTCAGGGAAAACCGAAAAAAACTACACCGAACCCCTTCGCTTCAAGAGACCCCATTCTGGAAGATGACCGGCTTGTACTCGTCGGGGACGCTCCGGTGCATCACCGGGCTGTTCTTGTAGCGGTCCACATGGGCCTTCAGGCCCTGGTGTGGCCCGCTCCACTTCACTTGGCACACCTCTCAGGGGCTGAGGGGCTGGGGTCATTCTGTGGACGGACGGTTTCTGGGGATCAAGGTCAGTCACTGGTTGGAGTTGTTTCCCTTTAAGCCACCACTGAACGGGGGTGACTTTGATCATGGTACCAGAATGAGGCCAGTCAGACAGTCAGGGCCGGCTCGTCGACGTCTAATGCTTACTCGGACTCAGAGACCTCCCCAAGCCAACAGAGTTCCCCTAACATGGGTACCAACTTCCAACACCTGCAAGATGATTGAATACAGGTTCAGCGCTACCAACTCCAAAACCCCTGAACACCACGGAAAAATTGGGGGTTCCTTTCCCCAAATAGGTACCCTCAAAAGAAGAACGACCACCCCCAAACTGTGGAAAGAAACAGCTATTGCCCAAGTACTAAGTATGAACTCTCTCCTTTGGGAGTCCAAAAAAAAAAAAGAAGACGAGAGCCGTTTCGCCAAGGCATCTGCTTTTCAGTCGAGTTTTGCTCAAGCCCACGCCTTGGCACTGGGCAAGGACCACTCCGAAAAGCCGTCGAAGATCCGCCAGACTTCCTGCACCGCGGCCTGGTCCACCAGGTTCACAAAGGCGTAGCCCAGGTTGGCATCTCGGTAGAAGTCGCAGGGCAAATAGACAAAGTCGTAGGCGTTTCCCAGACCCTGCTCATCCAATAAAGCCAGAAACATGTCCCGAGTGTAGTTGTTGGGAAGGTTGCGAAGCATCACCGTGGTGTGTGCACTTTGATCCAAGTTCACTCCCGAAGAGCTCTTGTTGCTTCGCTCACTCTCGCTCTCGCTCCTTACTTCAGCCTCGGCCTTGGCTGGAGAGGGAGGAGAGGGAGGGGCGGACAACTTTTCCGCCTGTTCATCGCTGAACTTGCCCGGCTCATAATCTTCAAGCACATCCAAGGCAAGCATGCTGTCCGTCTTCACCCGCCGGAGCTTCCTGTAGCTGCGCGCCATACTTTGGTCATCCAAGTCAATGAAGGTACTCCTCACAACCACCTTAGGGCAGTCACCCTCACACACGTCTCCCTGACTGGAAGAGCGTGGCGAGAGTTGAGGTGAGTCGCTCTTCAACGTGCCAGAATCACTGCGCGCAACCGTGCTCGCGGCATCACTATGGCTTTCCCACTTGCCCATCTGCACAAACACTGAGACCATGGCTGATGCTGCGGTTCGGGCGGGGCTGAGCCAAAGTGATCTGCGACATCAATGACTGGAGATAGAGCTTCTTTGCTTTTAGTTGCAAGCCCACCCGAAGCTGAGACATGCACACTACCTAGTTGGTGGTTTTGGATTTGCATTTGAACCCCCTCCGGAACACCACCAAGCCACCTGGCGAACTCCAAACCACCAATTTTCAAGGGCTGATCGTGCAAGAAGGCGACAGGCCTTCCCACCAGGCCCGAGTGAAGCAGAGTGTATTCTCCTCAGCCAGCAAGCGACCAGCGACCAGCGAGGAAAATGAGGCGTGCGTGAAGAGAATGGCCCCGAAACCGCCGAAACGGCCAGAGCAATGGAAGCTGACGATCGGAGGCTTCTGGAAGACTAGTCGCCTTTTGGGGGGAAGCCCCCGTCCACTCCCATGATTGTGGGAAAGAGGGTAGATGATGGGTGGAATGGTTACACATGTTTCCCATGGCTCCAAGTGCCCAACGGTGCACGGCAGACACGCACCCACAAGCTCCAGCCATGAGGCTGTTGCACCAAGCCTATGGGAAAGCATCCTGCATCTGTCAGGATTGCAGGAGACCCTATGATACTGGCTGATAAAAACCCTATACCATCTGGTGCGAAGTGAATTTGCCCATCACGTTTCAGAAGCTCACGTCCAATGGTGTGGATTGGCGAAAGGTCTTACCACTCAAACGGTAACCCAATAGTGACCCCAAAGCCCAGGAACTCAGGAAGTGAGTTGAAGATGCGGCAAACAAGCAAATGGCTGGTCGAAAATCGGGGAACCCCAAAATGGTTTGGTCTGGTAATTGGAGAAACATGGACAACCCAACCTGCGGTCTATTGATCCCCTATTGCTCAACCCCAGTTTATTAATAGGGGGGGTGCTTCTCCCTGGGTATAAACAGCTTGCTTGAAACTCAAAAAGGGGGTCGGATTTTTTTTGGCTCTGCCCTTAAATGTCCATTGGTTCCCCTGCCAATCTTAAACCCAAAGAGGAACATGACTGTTGACCATTGCTTTGACCTAAACAGCTTGCTTGAAATTAACGGGGGTCATGTTGGTCTTTGTTTCAATTTGCATACCCCCTTGCTTGGCCTTTGTTTAGATATAAGTGTCCATTGGTTCCCCTGGATTTTTTTTTAATACCCAAAGAGGCCCGTGGCTGTTGACCAGTCCTTTGACCCATACCCCATCCATCCATCGGAGCCGGAGGCCGAGCCCGACTCCGCCGACCCGATTCGCATCGAATGGATCTGAGGCGCCGTCGAAGACGATGGGCTCCAGGCCTGGCGGCCGCACCGAGAGCTCCTGGACCCGCGATCCCGCCCGCGCCGCTCCATCGATCCATCGATCCATCGATCCAGATCCATTTCCGGCGAAGGTGACCGAAGCTGTTGGAACAAAGGGCTGTGGCCCGAAAAAAAAAAAAAAGAAAGAGAAAAGATGTGCCAAATATAGATGTTTGACATGTTTTTTCAAAACCCAAATCGTAGCCCCAGTGAACATCCCACTCCAACCACTAAAATAGGTACTAAAATGGGTGGTGAGTTCCTATCCCAAAATAGTACCATTGGTTTTGACCCACGGCCAAATGGCTGTGGCCCAAAAAACAAAGATGTACCAAAACTTGTGGGTCAAATGAGTCAAATGGCCCCGATTCCAAAAACCAAAACAGGTACCAAAATAGGTCACCGTGGTATACCTTGGCAAGTGGACCCGACGGTTTCACCATGTTTCACCTGAAGCCTAGCTCTTCAATTTTGAGCCACAGATACGGAAACTGCCAAACCAACCAAAAAGATCTCAAAGTTTAAGAAACCGGACAGCCTTCGGGAACCACCAAGTATTCCAAACCCTGGAATAAGACTTGGGTCCTCGAGCAAGGGCCCAAATAAACAAGTGAGCTCAAGTTACTCCCCCGCCAAAAAAAACATGGGTCAAAATCCAAATCATACCCCCAGTGAACATCCCAGTCCCCACTAAAAAAGGTCCCCAAAACTAAGCTAGGTTCTTAAACGGGTGGTGAATTCACCTACCGCCCAAAATGGGATCCCAGACGGTTTTGACCAGCACGGCCATGTCAAGACGTCCACTCGCCGTGAGCCTTCGGCGCAGCTCCTGATCCGGCACAGAGTAGAAGGAGGCCACTTCGATGCCCGAGCACATGACACCCGTCCCTGCCATATCGCTCGCTTCGGATTCCGCAGCAGCGGCGCTCCAAAAAGGAAAAGGTGGGTCTCGGCCCCTTTGAATAAGGAAAGGATCGCGAGTTTCTGGGCTCTTCGTTTTCAGATCCGCAAAAAGCGACCAACTTCTCGTGGTTTGGTGGTAGTTTACCCAACAAAAAAGATGTCAACACCTGAGGAACCGGATGGCTGGGAGCCACCAAGTGTTAGGGGGGGCCTCTGACCAGGGACCGAATTTGGACAAGTTGACACTAGTTTTGACCAAAGATCATAGAGAACCCTTGGCATTACCATGTCCCAGGTTGCCAGAATGGGGTGCCCTAAATATTGCAAGTGGGGAACAAGGGAAACCCTGTCTAGGTCCTCCAGTAGAGAGGTTAGAATAAGGATACCCCTTTTGCTGTAGTCCATTTTTGTAGGGGAACCCTCCCCCAAAAAAGAGTAAAAGCGAACTACTGGGGGGCCTTGCTGTACATTTGCATGGTTTGTGGTTGGTTTGCTTGCGATACTTAGTTGGCATCCACCGCATATCCCAAAGCTCTTGGGCATGGCTTGTGAACAAGCATTTGGGTTGGCAATGCCCACTGTGATTCCACTGGAAGGCCTTCCCGGCGACGAATGCGTCGCTTCAAGCGAAGGGGAGATTCCCTGGCAGAGAAGTTTATTTACACTGTCTTCGGCTCTAAATTGGCATGGCGCCTGTTTACTTGTAGCCAAGTGGGTGTATCTCAAAAATAGGGGGAACCCCAAAATGGTTTGCAATTGGTGGTGACTACTTTTTACCCATACCCTGGCCTGCCCTCAGATCCCCCGGTAAAAGTTTTGCTTTAGTGGGTTAAATGGAAACCCCCGTTGAATTACTGCGCAAGCACTGTAGAAATCAGTGTACAAGAAATTGAGTGGCTGAAATTGCCGAATCAAGTCGTTTGCAACTGCATTTGCTGCTAAGAAATTGAGCCCCCCTGGATTTTTCGTCCAATTTCTTGGCAAACTTCACTTGTGCGATAAAGACAGCATGTTCGGCCATCAGGGAAGTGGCCGCTAAGAAATCCAGGGGCTCAATTTCTTAGCGGACAAGGTTGAGAAATCCAGCCCTGTGGCCCAGAGGGCGTAAAACCCAGCCCTTTTCAAGACGAAATGGACGCTGAGATACGCTGAGAAATTCAGCCCCCCGGGCCTCGACCAACGGATTTTTATACAGCCCTCGCCCTGTAACTAAGAAGCCAAAAAGCCAAAAAGGCTAAAAAGGCAAAGGAACCGGCTGGCTGGGAGCCACCAAGTTCCCAACTCAGCCCCCCTCCCCCCGAAAAAAAATGGGTTGGTTTCCCTTGGGCTTCAAGACACGCCAAAACGGAGGCGATCTGCGCCTGAGAAGAGGTGCTCCACCTGCTTGCGCAAGCGGTCTTTGGTGAAGACCTCGAACCAGCAGCGACGAGCGAAAAACGTGCGATCGGTGCGAAAGGTAGGGAACAGGGTTGTGGGATCAAGGGGTTTCTCCCCACTTCTGTGATACAAAATAGTCGTTGGGAAGCCCTTTCTGTTGTATCACAGAAGTGGTCATTCCCCACAGCCCTGGTAGGGAACGACCGAGTCTGTGTGTTGGGAATGAACTTAGGGGCCCTTTGAAGGAAACCAAGGGATGGTTTATAGGGGTCAATCCATTTCTCATTCCCTGCTGAGCACCAGCAAGTAGACCCAGGCATCTGTTTTCAATTGGTAGCTTCCAGATCCACTCTTTCCAGCAAACCTTCTTTCTAGAAAACCACCCCAAAACTGTGGGGAAACGCATGGTTCTTGAAAAGAACGATGGCTGAAAAGAGTGGGAAGCAACCCCTAGATCTTTTGAAGAAATCTCCAATCTTTTTTGTCTACCTCGGGATGCCCTGAAAAACATAGAGACGCCGGATTGCCGTGGATTGGTTTGGGTCATCGTCGTCATCCCAAGGCGCGTCGTCGTCATCCCAAATGGCAATTACCTGGCGGAAGGGCCAAGGATCATAGTATGGGTCAAAATTAAACCACCACCAATTGGAACGCAGGTTTTAATTTCCTTGTTGTCATTTACCAGGGCAAGCCATTTCGGGGTTACCCCAATTCTTGACAACCACACCCAAGTTTGGATTAGTCTTTAGTTTCCTTGCTCGCTTTTTTCTTGGGTAGCTCGTCTGCCGCTGAACAACTGCCAAACCAAATGGTGATTTGCTCTAATCAGCTTCCCCCTAGTTGGTTTCGGAAGGGTTTCCCATGAACCCTCTACAAAAGCCAATCCCCAAGCCACCAATCCAAACCGCAAGGTGGGCACAAGCCAACAAAATCGTGGGATCACAGTATTTCAGCTTCCCTCCAATTGGTGGTTTGGAGCCCAGTGGTTTGGTGGTGTTCCGGAGGGGTAAAGCCCGCTTACCCTCCCCTTCAAATCCGAATCCACAAACCAACCTGGCGGGTTGCCCTGGGATGCTGGCGAGCCGTTTTCAGGGCCAAGCGCAAGATCGCCCTGAAACTTGGAGAACACCAACACAGCCAGAAGGACTAAGACTGTCCAGTAAATTGACCGTCCGCGAATTTAGCCCTTACAAAGCACGAAAGGGGGAAGAAAAAAACGTAAAGGAAAATCATCCCCGAACCAAACTAAAGCAAAGGAGAAGATGTGTTGGGAGAGTTGGTTTTAGGCTATCCCAAGAACGGGTCTATGAGAGAAATCCACAAGGACCTCAGGGGGCTGAAGCTGAGCTCTCAGCCACATTCATGGCTAACACACAAGCAACGCCAAAGGCCAATCCTTATGAGGTTGTCATTGGCTGATCTG